ACTTGTGCCAAATAACTTGGCTTGTTTTTGTTACTTCACAACTTGATTTAGATAAGTAGTAGGCTCTGCCTCTGGCAGCAAAATGCCTTGGGTTGGCTCAGCTTGCCTTTGTTTCGCTGCCTCACTTTGGGTTTTTTGTTTGTTTGTTTGTTTGTTTTAATCTCTTCTCCATGGCTGATACTGTTCCTGCCACTTTCTATGCCCAGTTTTGAACAGAAGGACCCTTGGTTCATCTGCCCATTGTATAGTTTGTCTTAACACTATTTGATGTGGCGGGCCAGCAAATCCCCCACCCCATGTGCCAGGGACATTGGCTACCATTGTCAATTGGCTACCAGTGTCAGTTGGCTACCATTGTTTATTTCTTTCATGGAAACTTGCCAGGGACTGGCACTGGTTCAGGGACCACCACTTTGAGTAGCACTGTCCTAGAGAACATGGGCTCTCATTAGACCTCTCTTGTTTTGCTAGTTTCTCCACTGAAGACCAACTGTGTTTATCCAGCAGTTTGTAAGCCCTCCTTCTTGGTTCATTTCCAGAGTGGCTTTTCATATCTTGATTCTTGATCAAGAATCAGGGGAAACCAAATTGTTACATTTCTTGTTCCTGCACTAGACAGGACCTTTCTCTGCTTTGCCGTCTCACAGCAGGTTGGTGATGGATACAGCTGGGGCATACCATCATAGGCCATCCAGATAGCTGTTTCCTCACTCTGGTACTTGAGTGAGTGTGATAAGAAGCAGAGCAAAGCAAGCCCATAAGATAGTTTGAGTCTAGTGCTAGGATTCTAAATGCATTTTATAGGCAGAGTTTGGAAACATTACATTTTTGGTACAACAGCTTCCAGAATCCCCCAGCCAGCCAGTAGGCAGTCTTTAAAAAGTAACCTTTCCTTGCTCTGCAAATAGGAGATACAAATACTAGACAGCCTTCTGAGAAGCCTCCAGACAAGAATGATTCCAAAGAATATAGAGCACCTCCTTCCAAAATACTTCCCATAATTCTGTTTGTTCCCCAATTTTTAAGCCATGATATATTAAGGTTCTTTATGTGACAGATTATACCAGTGTTACTCAAAGTGGTGGTCCCTGGAAAATTGCCAGTCCCCAAGCTGCTGGGTTCACAAAGAAATCATTGTAGCCAATGGGCACAAATATGGTTCTAGTCCTGGGCACATTGGAAAATGTGGTCCCCCACAAGAGATAACCTAAGAAGAGCTGGATTGCATTGCTATCTGTCCTAGCAATGGTGTTTTTGAATGACTGCTACTCCAAACTAGTGCCTGTAGAGCAGTCCCTGCCTCAATATATACTAAACTATAGAAAATGGAATGGAAATCATGCCTTTGGTCCTTGCCTGTTCAAGAGAGCACCCCATGCACTTGTTCATTAGTTTTCAGGTCCCCAGCCTTGGTGCTCCAGATGTTTTGGACTTCAGTGCCCAAAATGTGCTTCTTGGGACCTCTGAGGATTGAAGTCCAAAACATGGAGGACCAGAGGTTGGGAATCACTGCTCTAGTTTTCAGTCTTGGACATCAACCTTCTCTCTCTCTGTAGCTAGACTGGGGTTGATGAACCTTTGGCTTCCTATATGTTATTTTATTTTATTTTATTTATATCCTGCCTTTCTCCTGGGTTGGGACCCAAAGTGTTTCAAATACAATTAAGAACAAAGTAGAAAACCGCCTATTTGATGTTGTTGACTGCCCTTGAGTCAGTTTTGACTCATGCATATCTGATTGTTGATATTCCTTTCTCCTATTTTCATTTGTATCAAACATTTGATACAAACATTTTAAAAGCATTAAACAAACAGTTCCATTAAACAAGCACTAAATATGAAAATTAGAAGCCCATGTTTTGCACTTTGTTGTTATTGTTGTGTGCCTTCAAGTCATTTCCGACTTATGGCGACCCTAAGGTGAAACTGTCATTGGGTTTTATTCGTAAGATATGTTCACAGGATATTTGCCATTGCCTTCTCCTGAGGCTGAGAGCATGTGACTTGCCAAAGGTTACCCAATGGGTTTCGTAACCCAAACGGGAAATTGAACCCAGGTCTACAGAGTCATAGGCCAGCACTCAAACCACTGAACCATTATGGGCTCTATCATTCCCATAATCCCTGACTCTTGGCCATGCTTGATGGGAGACAGAGAATGGAAGTAATGAGTCAGAAATGACACACATGTAACTATAAGAATTTACTTTTCTAGATAACATGGGTGCAATAAAATCACACTAGAATTACAAGAAGGAATGAGGTTAATTTATTAGTGGGACAATTTATATGTTCTAGTTAACTTTAATGTTACTTTCAAAAGGCATTTTGAGAAGGATTGGTTTTTTTGACATTCATTCATCAGTCCTAAAGTTTCCTTTTCAAAAGTAACAAAGGCAAGGAAAAAAGAAGGAAGAATGTACTGAAGAAACATGAGCTAACTTTATAACAATGAAAGAAAGAATATTTTAAAAACAGTTGAAAAGGTGGGACAACAGGGGGTTAATTGGGACTGTCCTTATCAAATTGGCATAGTATACTGTGTAGTAGCTAATTGACTCCCCCCATCCCCGACTTCTGTGTACTCCTGCTGGTGGATTTCATAGTAGCCGGGCAGTGAATCTGCTGTGGGTTTTCGTCTATAATTTAATGGAAATACCCAAAGTGCTGAACCATAGTCCCAAAGTAGGTTCAACACCTTGGATAGCTCCCTTAATGTTTTAACTAATATCAGTGGAGAATTCACTGACCCCACTAACATGGTAGCCACCAGCTGTCAGTGCAGCCCTGTTCTAAATAATGATAAAGGTCTGCATCCAGGAACTGAGAGACAATACTGTTTCTAGAGTTGAATATCTGCAGTTTTATGGCTGGGTTTTGCACTGCTTTTCCTCAGCAGGACTTAATACCAGAATATCATCAATAATGATGGTGATAATGGTACTAATGCTCAAATGTGTCTGAAGAAGTACAGAATGTTTTTGTGTTGCTGTCTGAAAATGGGAGAGAGAGTCTGAAGGACAAAAGATGCCATTTTCAAGCAAATGTGGACACGGGTGTTTCAAAAATGGGAACACATTCTTTTAAAAATTAACCTCCCAAACTTCAAAAAGGATTCATTGGTACTGAAGGCAAAAAGCATCAGCTGGACCAAAGGTCTGATAGACCAAAGGAGTGCAGTGTGTACAGAAATCCAGTATTGAAGGGACATATAGTGCATCTGCATTACATCATTTTAGTAGTATGGTGACACTTTAACTGTAATGTCTCTATTCTCTGGATGCCTGGGATTTGTAGTTTATTGAGGTACAGTACTTAGAAGCTTTGTTAGTTCCAGAGGGTAGACCAGACAGAGCTCTCTGGCAGCCTGTCTTTGTGTATTTTGGTCTTCCATGGCCATTTACCTGT